ATACGTACTTCATGTGTGGAGTAATGTACTTTGACCATGACCAACACGTGCACACTAATCGGGGTAGATATGACATGTGTTGGGTGCATCACGAAGCACATGGATTAGTAGTTGAGCCAAGCAAGGATTCATTCCTCATAATAGATTAAGAGAGAACATTTTACTTCTCATATCTAGATGGATCATAGAGTCATTGACCAATGTAAATATATATTCGTTTTAGATATCGAATATGATCATTATGAATCATCTAGAAAGATTGAGAGATAGAAACTAAGTTATTGGAATAGACACAATATCAAATTCTAGACTTAGTTGAATGTTCGGTAAAGGACCGTATCATTATGAGCTCTATATTACAGGGAGTTTGGATAGTCCTCACAAACGTTCTTGTATATTAAGATTGTCCAGTAAATGGTTAAGAGATTCTCCTAAGACCTTAATTTGATTAGTGTTTAATATATAAGGCCCTATGGTTCACATAATAAGTGACTATATATTCCGATTGAATTGTTAGAAGGAATTAAATATTAATTGGATTAAATAATATTAAATTCCTAATACTAAAAATGAATTAAATATCAATTAGATTAAACATATGTAATTCATGAAGTTGAAGGAGAGTTTTATTTGATAGAATTAATTAAGTGGAATAAATTAAATTTATTGTACTTAATTAATATGTATTTTTAATTAAATAAAGTTGGTATTTTCTTTTTTGATTTGGAATTTAAAAGAAAAGGAAATAAAATAAATAATAATTTATACATAACAAAAAAAACGAGTAGAGAGTGGCTGCACACCACTTCTCTATTGTTGTTGTTATTATTATTTTATTTTATTTTATCTACTTATTTAATTAATAATGAAGTATTGGTCCTGGTAGGACTAGAACTCATTAACGAGCAAGACTTTCATTGTGATTAGGAAACTAGTTTAGAACTAGTATAAATACATCTTTCTCCTTCATAATTTGGTGACTAGTTTTCTAGATTCAATATTACCAGTTTATTTTCCCGTGCAGGGATTTTCTAGCCTTTCTCTCTGGGAGATCTGATCGTTCTTTCTGAAAGGAGAAATCAAGTGGATACCTAAGGTCAATGATTATCATCATCGCTAGGCTGGAAGATCTGTAATATCTAACACAAATCTGTTATTATTGTTATATTCGTTGTTTTGTCATAATCAGGGAAGATCTGTTTGGGAAAAATTTAAACTTCCGCTGCTGTACTTTCGAGGTACGTTACATCAATTTCCTAACAGGAGGATTGTTCCGTAATGCTGATGATAGTTCCTTGGCAACTGATAACATTAACCTTGAGATCTGTTCGACCACTAGGGCTGAATTGAGATCAGAGCTGTTATAACATGGTTAAAGTTGGCTTGGGAGAACGGATATAGGAAGCTAGGTACGGGTGCAACTGAATTCACGTGCTACAATCAATTTTCTACTAAGGGCCGGTGAGATCACACACCAGCACTCTTCAGAGGTCGTCGGTTTTCGGAGCTGTTGGATCGGGACTGAATGATTAAGGTTGAACACTTTTATCTGGAAGAAAACCAAATTGTTGACTATTTAGCTGGCCTTGGTCATAGTTTACCACTTGGTCTACATTATATTTCTATGAATGATCCTACTTTGTCGTATCATTTATTGTGTATGACTTTCTTGGCGTTTCTAAACCTCGCTTGATTATGAATGAAAAATAGAGATTATTGCGCCCGAGCTTACCCCAAAAAAGAAATGTATAGTTATACCTAGTACAATTTGGTACCTTATACATAGTAGTTAGTAAAAAGAAGCATAACAATGAAAAAATGGTAGTGTGCCCATTCTAGTTCTTCTCGTATACAAGCATATCATTATGCGAATGCACAAACAGATTTAGTTGTTTTAGGAGCCATGTGCAATGACTTTTTGTGAGGTTAGATATTGACCGATTCATGATCAAATTATTGCTCACACGAACCTTGCAGGATTTTCAACGACTATTATTTTCTTAAAAAATCCAGTAACATATTCAGCATTAATCATGTATTTATTGGTCAACTTTTTTTCAACATGCATTTGAAAGGATTTTCAATTTTTATTATTTTCTAAATTTATATATAATCCGTAGTACTAATTGAATGTTCTCCCGCTGTGCAATACTTGTTTTTCTCTCTTCATTTATTGATTAATATGATCATCCTTTTTTATCATTTATTTATTGTCATGCACACTAGCTAATATGTTTTCTCTAGATTTTTACTTGAAGCATATGACATCTAAATTTGACATCGCAGTAACAAGAACTTACTGTTTATTAAAGACAGTACAGTTACGTTTTAGGAGAATTTAAAAATCCTAAAAAATTTTATCTCTTCAGTGCATTTCCATATAAAATTTATTGACTTATTAATGAATGAAATTAATTAATAAATAAACAAAAGCGAAGTAAGTATTTAGAATACATTAGCGTGGAAAATATTTTTCTTTGCCTTAGAGGACTCCGATACTCAAATAATCAGTTTTTTTTTGTGCCACATCATTGCCACATATAAAATCATAAATAATATCAAACAATCTTAGCTTTCTCTCAATCATAATTTTAAATTATTGTGATTTTTGTATGCAAACATTAAAAGAGACTCTCCTACAAAAACATTATTCCACCAACGTATGTTTTTTTTCACCAACGTATTACTTTGTTTTTTCTAATTTTTTTTATTACAAACATTATTCCATTTCTTCTCCAGTTTAATTTTTTTCTTTTGTTCAAGTCATGAGTTGTACTCTAAGAAATAATCCAACAAAAATTGTTACTGAAAATCATAACCATTCAGTTTTATTAATCACATATATTAATATATATGTATTTTTAATATGTATTTATAACATATATATATATATATATATATATGCGTATTTATTTTAAATGTACGTGTTTATATTTATATAAGTACTGTTTGATTTCTCTTTAACGTAATCAATCTGTTAAACTTAATCATCTTTAAAAATGATATTTAAACAACAATGCATAAATAAGAATACATAAAATAAGGCTAATAAATTAATGATTTAATTGGTGTGGCCGTAATGTGCCCAAATCTGTTCAACCAAATCATGTTATTTTGCAATCCAAAATAAAGAATATGTATGTACTAAAATCGGGTGACTGTTGTGGTTGCCTATTGTTATTTAAAAAATGTTAAATTAATTCAATTATGATTGCAATCTTTTCAAATTAAAAGCTTTTAATTTGAGGTAATACATACGGAGTACCTTTTAAAATGAGGCTGCTTACTATTAAAAAAAATTGAAGTTGCGTGCCACTTTTTGAATCAATACGTAGTATGAAGCAGCTATAAGCCTATAAGGACTTCGCTAATTGCTACTGGCTACAGGAATTCTGAGCTAAACGCCATCAAATAAGGAAAAGAATCATACAGTTATCCCAATTTTCCATATATGTTGGATAAATAATTCAAAATAATCTGGTTTCAAAATTTGATGCTGGATTTTTTTTTAAATAAACTTTGCAAATAATTTCTTTATCTCAATCATAATCTAAAAAAAAATCAGCCACATCTTCAAATTAATCTCTAAACAATCTAAACAATGAGATTGCTCTTAAGAAAGTTAAAAAAATTCAATGTGTTTCTACTTAAATTAAACATTCTAAAACACAGTGGGAGGGCGGCCGTTACCACACTCTACCTCTTCATGATATGCTCTGTTGTTGATGTTTCTGGATGTGTTCCTATGGATCGGATCTGGAGATCTGTGATTGATACCTTCAATTGGAAAATCGTCTAATCAGTTCCGCTCAGCTGGTTTGACGGAGTGGATGATTGGGATTGTGGTTGGCACAGGGGACGAATGGATGGGACGACTGGACTGGTTCCTATTTGGATGGGGGTGCTTGAGACAGATAATGTTTGAATCGAGTTATGAGCAAGGGAGAAGACAGATCGGCGGTCCGCCCCCTTCACGAACTGCCGCCCTGGAGCGATCAAGGTGCTAGGGTTTGAAAAATGATACTTTAAGAATAAGGATTGACAATTCTGTTAGATATTATGTCGTTAGAAGGATCTATATGACCAGTGATTGTTGTGTCACATCCGTTTGGTGGTTAGCGATTCATATTGCTCTTGAGGGGTGATCGCCTCTAAGTCTAGCCATAAGGTTATAATGCTAATTGGCTACAGATAATTGTTGTTAGTGTTGGACTGCTGGTCTCTTTAAATTTATTGTAACTAGGGATGGACTCGGGTCGGGCGGCCCGACCCGGACCCGGCCCAGCCCGGGCCAAGGCCCGACCCGGACCCGGTGGCCCGGTCCACCGGCGGTTCGGGTCGAACCGGCCCGGTGGATACCGGTTCCGGGCCCGGGCCCTCCATTTGGTGAACCGGCCCGGCCGGTTCGGGCCCGGTCCGGGCTGGATTTAATTTTTTTTTTTTTGAATTTTTTTTGAGTTTTGGGTTGGATTAGGTATTTTGGGCCATTTGAGGTGGTTTGGGGTGGTTTGGGGTTGAGGGGGAGGGGTAGGGGGTTAAATAAGAGAAGCAAAAAAAATAGGGCGGGTGAACCGGCCCGGTCTGGCCCGGAACCGGCCCGGAACTGGTCACCGCCGGTTTGGGCTCGGGCCTCCCTTACCTTGAACCGAGGCCCGGCCGGTTCAAGGCCCGAACCGGGCCCGAACCGGGCCCGAACCGGAACCGGTCCACCCCTAATTGTAACTATCTAAACCCTAATTATATTAATATAAGCAAGTTTTCCTTGAATAAAGAATGCTTAAGTGTGAGTAAAGTAATCATGAGGTGCAACGAGCCAACAAGATTTTATATTGCAAACGACCATTGGATTACCTCATGAACCAATATATGTTTGTGTAGTCAATTCTTAAATGTTTACAAGAAAAAAGAGTATGATATACTTCTTGAAAGTTGGTTATTCTGGGGTTCAACCATCATAACTTCAATGTTGATCCGTCCCTCCATTAAATATGGCCAGTATATATAGAGAGATCACTCCTTTGTAATTAAGCAGTAAACCTGTAATTATTTAAAAATATATCAATGTGTATAAAATAATGTTTACATGAATTTACTATAGCCTTCAACTACATGCTCCGATGCCAGTGAAGTGTTAATGTACACAACAAATTCAAAATCATCAATCAAACAGTTTCATGGAGTCCATCATGACCAACTTTGAACAAAAAATTTTGCCCATCACCGCTAAGTTCTTCAACGACAGCTGCCATAGTTGGCCTCTTCTCAGGCACCTCATTCGTGCAAGCCACCGCAATTTTAGTAAGCTTTGTCGCCTCACTTTCATGGAATTTCCCTTTGAGGTTAGGGTCAACAAAACCCGCAAAGTTGCAAGACTCGGCCGCGAGTCGGATCGAGCTTGTGAGCATGCATTTCCCGGACATCACTTGAAGCATGACCACCCCGAACGCATACACGTCACTCTTTTCAGTGAAGCTGCCTGAGGTGATGTACTCTGGGGCCATGTAACCAAGGGCAGCACTGACCTTTAGGGCCGAGTAGGCGACATCTTCAGCAAAGAGCTTTAGAAGGCCTGAATCCAAGATTACTGGAGAGAAGTGTTCGTTTAGTAGGATTTTTTCAACTGATATGTTCCTGTGAACGATGGCGGGCTTGTTTTCATCACAACTGTGTAAATACCTAATGCCTGCAGTTCGTGATTAAACACATAGGAATGAATACAATATGATTAAACTAAGATTACTCGACAAAATGCCAATTTTAATATGCCTAGCATATTACATTGCAGTAACCCTGCTGGTATTTTTGTTGGGACTAGTGACATGTGGTCATATTTTCTTTCATAATTTTTTTTTTAGAATTTTAATACAAACTCCCACATAGGTAAATGTGGTTATACAGTAAAAATTCTATGTACAAAACTGTATATTAGGATAACCTCTATTCCGCTATAATATATTTTGGTTCATTAAGGCTAGTAATAAATAGGAATGACCTCTGAATTGTAATAAGTTATTATATAGAGTAACTTTCAAAAGCCGCATATTATGAAAATAGTTAAATAGGTATATAGAGTTGTACGTTTTCAACTTTTCATAGTATGGGTATAATATGGTATAACTATATTATAGTTATACCAATCCAAGAGTGTGTTTGTGCATTTCTGCATTTACACGAAGACTTGAGAGGGTGTTTGCTTCAGGCTTTCAGTTCCTTTGAAACTGATTATACAATTCTAAGAGCAAGTCACTTCAAAGTAGCAGAAACTTGTTCTATGTTTAGAACCGCTTAAACAGGAGTAAAAACGCTGCAGTTTTCCTAAATAGGAGTACTATTTTTTACTATTAATATGGCTGTCTGTCATATTATGTCATTTTTTCCTTTTTCCTATATAGGAGTACTATTAATGCCTGATAATGTTATAGTATGGAGATATGTCATATTTATGCTTGATAATGTCATAATATGGCGATATAATTTCAGGAGCGACCATACTCAACTCTTTTTTCAGAAAAATACATAGTTCTCTTATTTAAGAAAATTCCCTCGGCTTCTAAATTCTGATTACCCTTATGTTTTTATTAGTTATTTATACGGAGTACTTTAGAATCACATCACAACAACAGCTCTATCACACAATTCAGTGTCACTGTTCAGTAACCTTGAAAACATTTCAATTCTCCCCACAAAACAAACTCTGATCCTGACACTTAGGATCCATTTGATAAAGAAATTCAAACCAGATTTCTATTAACACAAGAAAACATTTTCCATGATTTTTTCCTGTGAGTATAGAAAATGGTTTCAGATATGATAGCATAGGTAAATATTTTTCAGGAAATACTTTCATGTGTTTGACACACCTAAACATTTTTTATTCAGAAGAATATTTTCTTTAATTCTTTAGACTATTAAAAATCCACTTCACAGTTTGAGAACATGATTACGTTTTCTATTTTTGTGGGTCAAACATTGTATTATACATAAAATAACTTCTGAAGTTTTTCAGGATAATATTTCCTAGAAGTTAATTGTTGAAACAAAAGGAATCTTAGAATCAGATCTAGAAGCATGCTTTCGCCAAAAAGCCCATAACAATTTACTAGCACGAATCATGTGAAATGTAAAGAATACTATTTGACTCTTTAATACTCCGTATAAGAGTGCGATGAAGAGGAGGAAGAGATTTACCTTTGGCGATGCCATTGATGATGGAAACTCTGGTGGACCAGCTGAGGACGTGGCTACTTCTACCCTCTGCAACATCAAGGTAGTGTGACAAATTACCTCTAGACGCATAGTCATAAATTAAGAAACACTCTCCCCTCCCCTTTGAGAAGCAGAAACCCCTCAGCTTGACAAGGTTATCGTGTTCCAACGAAGTGATCAAGTTAAGCCCCTTCATAAATTCTGCCTCCTCTGACTTGCATGCCGTCACATTTATACTCTTAATCGCTACTACACATCCATCCTTGAGAATTCCTCTATATACAGCCGAGAAGTTGCTTCTTCCTAACAAATTCGCGTCTGAGAAATGCTGTGCCGCTGACTTTACCTCTTCTATGTTGAACATTATCCCTGGGGTCATCGGGTCCCAGTCTTGAAAGTACTCGATTGAAATGAGAGGAGAAGGACTTCTATGCAATTCTTTTGATTGGTCCACAGTGAGCCTATCCTCGAGTTCATCAATGGTGTTCCCCACCTTCAGTTTACGCTTCCTGAGGAGGAATGTGACCATAACTGCTGCAACCAACACTGAGATGGTCGCAGAAACCGTCCCGATGATGATGCCAAAATGTGGGAGCTTGGATGAAGTTGAGCGCTGTGGAGGAAGTTTTGCTGCCTTGGGAATGTTGGTGGCTAGAGGTACTAATCCTTTGTCTGCTGGAATAGCTTTCTCATCATAATCAAAGGGTGTACAGTTTCTTAATAATAAAAGTCCAGCGCCACATAGATTAAGGTTGTTTTGTCCATTGAATCCTCCCTTGAGCCTTTTTAACCCTTAAAATTCGGCACATACAACAACAAAATTAGCACATATGATTAAACCCTAACCTGAGGGCTCCCATCGCCACTATAATACATCAAGATTTGGAATTTCATCCCATACAGTCAACCTCGCGAGAAAAAGTCACGAAATGTCTTAGAATATGGTGGTTTATATTTTATATTTACTGAAATGCAATGACTTATAAACTCTACAGCCGTGGAGCAGGGCAGACAGATATGTCTCTCCCTTCCACCACTTTAGCTCTGTCCAACACAAACACAAAACTAGTACACCCTTTGACCCATTTTATAAATCCCACTTTCCACTTTGGTTTGACCCATTATTATGTACATTTTCTTACAACCTTACGTAGTAATTTTTTACTTCACCTTCTACTTTGCCCCTTCTGATTTGACATTTTGAACTCTTTGGACAGCTTTTTAAAGTAAAAGTTACCCACATTAACTTGATTGCAGAAAGACATTGTAACTTTCTATTTGCAGAATGAATTTCAATTTTATGAAACCCTTTGGAGAAAACAAATGATAAATGGAACTAACCAGGAGAAGTAGGACCATAAAAGCTGTTATTTTGAACATCAAGAACCTCCAATGGAGGAGAATTAGATAGGCTCAGAGGAATTGGACCCGAGAGCTGATTAAAGCCTAAATAAACCTCTTTTAACAGTCTGAGGTTTCCCAAGCTTGCCGGAATCTGACCTGTCAACATGTTATGTTCCAAAGCAAGATAACTCAACTTCTTCAAGAATCCAATCTCTTCAGGTATGGACCCTGTCAGCTGGTTGTTATTTAGCTGCAGCACTGATGTGAACCACAATTATCAAAATCAAACAAGCAAAGATAAGTCCCATGAAGAATAGTTACATATAGATCCCGTTTGGCAGGCTTCATGACTTCACATTATTCTTATCAGCCTTTTTTATACCAAACGGCAACTTAATTCAATTTCAATGTATTTTAATACACAATCCCATATCATTAGATTTAACTCATACCAAATACGTCTAATGATCCTTAAAAAACATGATAAAAATTGACCTTTTCATTCAAAAACATCTGAATGTTATCTATCTTGGAAAGTTATTACAAATTTAAAAAACAATTGATGCTCAAATGAACTAGGGTAGTAAATCCAAAGATTTAGAAGAATATAAATTCATGACAAGACAATGAAATTCTGACCTTGAAGGCTAACCATTCCGCCAATCTCGGGAGGTATAACCCCAGTAAGATTGTTGAAATCAAGATACAAATCAGTCAGCTCAGTGAGATTCGCAATCTCTCTTGGAATCTCTCCAGTCAACTTATTGAACTGCAAGTAGAGACCAGACATGCACTTGAGCTCAGCCACCGCCGGCGACAACTGTCCGGTGAGTCCCCTGCTCGGCAGAGATATGTTACTGACCTTGCGGTTCTCGTTGCAGACCACTCCCAGGAAGGAGGACCCACTGCACGGATCACCGTCACTGGTCCACGAAGAGAGAATCTTGTTCTCTGGGTCCAAAGAGGCCTTCATCTCCATTAAAGCACTCAGCTCGGCATTTGCACAAGCATACCTCAGGCAAGATAGTCCGAGAAACAGGAGGGAAATACAGAGGAAATGTGAAACCATTTCTCAGTTTTCCTCGATCAGATGTATCGAAGTTTAGGACAGTTGGGTGTTTTGTCGGAGAGAGAGTGTGGGGTTGATACAAAATGTAGACATCCATGCAACCCCATCAAATTGTTATGCGGAAGCCAGTTAGTGGTCCATCAAATTATAATAATATTATTAAAATAAAACTTATTTATGTAAATGGATATTTATTACTATAACATAGTATTTTGGTAATTTAGTTAAAACTTGAACATGAATTACTATGATTTCATTACTACTCTAGTAATTAGTCATATTTTTGTAAATCATCTTTATTTTGATCATATTTATGTAATTATTTCAAACATTTTCCCACTTTTCTTTTTAGTTGGTAAAGATTTTTTGAGGCCTTAAAAAATAGTATTACCTCCCTAACATAAAGAGTTTCCTACTTTTCTTTTTAGTTTGTAACGAAAATGTCTTTACATTTTAAATCTTTTAATCATACTTTCAATAATTTTGAAATAATACACTATTACAATTATGATTTTTGAATTTATTCTTCATCCCATCATATTATTCCTCTATCTTCACATCATACCTTCAATAATTTATATCATCTTTCACTATTCATAATTTATCTACTTTTTTTTACTCCAGTGGGTTTGGGGAGGGGCCCTGGAGGCCCTGGAGTAATCAAGACTGAAAGTCACTTCATTGAGATACGAACCCTTATATGCCTAGCGGGGTTCGAACTCGAAACCTCTCACTAGGCACGGTAATCTCAAAACTAGCTGGGTTAGAATATTTGGTTCATAATTTATCTACTTTTGAAATGAGAACGTATTTACGTTACAGAGGTGTAGTATGAACAATATTCATGTTTTTTCGTAACATTTTTCGTGACGTAATTTTCATGCATTAAAATGTAAAGCAAGTCTCTCTAAAAAATGTAACTCAAGTCGTTACAAAATGTAATTTAAGTTAGCAACAATTGTAACTCGTTTATTCAAGTGTAACTAGCGTTACTCACTCCAATGGTCATCTGCCACCTTTCACATATGAAATGTAAAGCGCGTGTATGAAAAGTGTTTTTCAGACAAGTCAAAATGAAAATCACGTGTGTGGAAAATGTAACTTGCTGTGACAAGTCAAAATGTAACTCTCGTGTATGAAAATGTAAGTTACTCACGCATACGAAAATGTAAATCGCGCGTAAGAAAATGTAACTCGCGCATATGAAAATCACGTATAGAAAGATGTAACTTGATGTTTTATCAAATGTAATTCCATGAATCATGTATAAGTGTAATTCACACATATGAAAATGTAAACTCATATTTTATCAAATGTAAATCAAAATAAACACACTCAATGTTTGAAAAACCTTTAAAAGCATATAAACGAGATAAAAACACTCCGTATTACAGAAAAAAGTGTATGAATATGAAACAAATATATTAAAAGTTGATGAATATAAAAATATTACATAGAAAATAATTTCAATTATAATTTAAGTTGAAGATTAAAAAAGTAAAATCATAATTAAATTTTTATTATTTTGATGGAGAATGAGAAAAGAGAAAAAACCGAAGATGAAATCAAAAATCTAAATGAAAGTATGAAACTCAAAGAAAGATTAATAGTGCATTGAAAAAAGAAAGAGAAATTGAAAAAGAAATATTGCAAATTTTAATGTAAAACTATGTTGTTTCATTAAGCCTCGGAATAGGTGCTCATGACGATACTATAGTATAATTTGCGTCCATGCACATACAATTATGGACCATTTGTAAGCCCATTTTCAAACATGTACATTTTTAACAATGAAAATAAATAAAATTGAGTTAATTTCTGATTGAATTATCCCATGCTACTGTAGATACTATTTTATATGATTTTTTTATTTTATTAATAAAATATATTTTAAATATAAAGTTTTCCATGACTCAAAAGATTTAGCCAATTCACACGCTTGCAAAATTTTATCAATTTCAATTGAGCAGATTAAATCAATTTTAGTATTACTAAACGAGCTCTTAGTTTTGATTTAAAGTCTGTTTGGTAACACTTAGTTTTGATTAATTTTAAACACTAAAATTGGTTGCATCGATTGAACAACTTGTTTTCAACAATGGAATATGGTACATTCGTAAAATATAAATGGACAACGTAGATAAAATGATTTAATGATTATAGTTTAAACTAGGTAAAAGTTGATTTAAAGGATTTTGATGATATTAATTTATTTCGATATTATTATAATTTGTGATCTTAGTGCATTTGCTTATTTAACTACTAATTTTATCAAATGATTTGTTATTCTTAATTGTACAATATTATATCATATGTTCAATTTAACTTATTTAACTACTAATTGAACTAGTTAAACACATTTAAAAAAAGAATTAATTTTACAAATCATCGCATATTTTTTAACTTTTTCAATTTTAAATTAGTTTAAACTGAATCATCAAATCATTTTTCTAAGTTGTTCATCTATACATGATGAATGTACCATAATTTCACCGTGAAAACAAATTGAAGCTCACTTTATTCCATCGAAGACATGCAAGTTGAAGTAGTTTATGAGCTTTTATACAAATTCATATGCTCTTTACCGATAAAAAAATCAATTATTGAATTGACAATTTACTCCTTTTTGATGGATACCAACGTACCGTGTATTAACCTTTACTCCGTAGAATAATACTAGTAATAATAAGGGAGGATTTGAGCTTGTATTCTACTTTTTTGGATGATATTAGATTTTGCACTTTGTTTTGAAAAAACTTTGATTTTGCACTTCATTTCACTTAAAATTCCTTTGATTTTACACCCCATTTAGAAATTTTCTTCACAAAGTGGTATGTGTTGGGATGCAAAGTTAAAGTTTTTTTAGATAGGATGCAAAATTCAATATCATCAATAAAAAGTAGGGTGCAAAGTCCAATATCATCAATAAAAAGTAGGGTGCAAAGTTGAATCGCCAAATAATAATATACTCCGTAATAACGTCAACTCGTCTATAATTGGACGGACAGGCGAATTTGACTTGTACAAATTGGACACTTAAATCAGTTTTAAAACCTCTGTATTATGTATGCGAGACCCTCTCTCTATGCTGGACTCCGTATGTCAAAATCCATTAATGCCAAATCCAGGTTGAGATTGTTTAATTCAATAATCAATGAAGAGTCTATGCAATAATGTACTCGGTACTATTGTAGCGAGATACGTGTATGGTGTTGTACTCACTTCGGTAAAAAAGAAAAGAAAAAATTGAAAATAATAGTTTGGGAAATTGTTTTAAATATGACTAAAAATGTTTGTGTATTTCGAAATAGGACTATTATATTTTTTTTCTAAAATAGGACTAATTACTATCATATTTTGGCATTACTAGACTTTAAACATGTCAGTATTTTCCAAATTTGACAGTAATTACTCCTAATTTGAGAATAAAAACATGACTATCCTATTTTGGAATTTTCAAAGTTTTTAACTCCTATTTCGGGAATTTTCCCTAATGATTTCAACTATTACTGATCTAACCATAATACTCTCAACTATTAGTTATTTCCGTATAATTTCAACTATATGGTCCGTCCATCAATAATAGTCCATGATCGTGTATAACCTGCTATAGCATGTCACTTTTAAATAAAAACTAAGCATATTCTATAAATAATACGAAGTATGAACTATGCTTGTTCTTCTTTTAGTAATCTCAACTATCAATTCGATTTCTTTTTAAACAAATAGAAAATTTTATTTATGAGCCCATTTGGTGAACTTTTTTTCGGCTTATCAATCAACTTTTTCACTAAACACATAACTTTTGATTTTCCATGCTGAGTTGTGTAGTAATAAGAAAAAGTAAGGTTGAAGTTGCTTTCTTGACTGTATTGATTGAAGTTACTGTAGATCATTTTAACTATTTTTTTCCGATAATTATTTCTTTATTTTATTAATAAACTTTTTTTTAAATATAACTTTTTCATAAATCAGTAGAATCAACAAATCCAGCCATTTCAGTGTTACCAAACTCAATCTAAATTTCAAAATTTGACTTTTACAAAATTAAAAGTTTAACTAGATCTAGAAACGAATTGCTGAGATTATTAGGAGTGAACCTTTTCGTAATGTACATATGACTCCTTTACGAAGAAAATTACGTTCATTACTTGATAGAGATCATGTGATCGCTCGATTTTGCGCCTGTTTGGTAGCACTGAGATTGAGTGAATTGACTGATTCTGCTGAAATTTACAAAGTTCTGGCTGAAGTGGCTGCATAACTGCATTTGCTGATTTATGAAAAATTTATATTAAAATATATCTATAGATTATACATTTGAAAGATACAATTATGGAAAGTTTTGTCATGTGTCATCGGTAAATTATATCCTACACTCGGTTGTATGGTTCTCATCGTACAACCGGGTATTTTTGCAATTATTTAGGAGAGTTCGCAGAACTGATTTGGTGTCCAGAGGCAGAGATCGGTGGATTGAGAGTCTTCTGGGAACTGATCGATGGCTGGGATTCCGGGAGTTGATGCAAGAGACGCTGGACGGATGTTGCTGCTCGCCTGCTCGCTCGCTGATGCCCTGATGAAGAAGAATCAGGTTGTGGCGGTGTGGCCTTCTACAGCTGGATGCCTGGATCGATGTCCTTAGACTTGAGTTTGCTGCTCTTGTTTTTTAGTTCTCAATCCCCACTATGACAATTTCTAGCTATATTTTAATAGTGTGTGGGGGGTTTCAACTTGTATTTCTGACGAGATGACAACGTGTTATATTGAAAAATTGAATTTCTTTTTAAATCTAAATGAGTATAATGCATAAAAGTAATGAACATATATAAATGAGTTTTTAAATGTTACGATACTCATTATGTAAGTTATATATGTTCATTTGGTACCAATATATTGCTCATTTTGAAATATTATATGAACGTATATTTCAAAAATATCATATTAAATTAGATTCAGATTTGGTTGAACTGATTATAGATACAGAAGCATATATATCATAATACTCAATGACATATTTACGTGATTCTAATACTTGATAGAGGATGTGTTGATGATGCTCAATGAAAATATCTTTATTTTC